GTCTTTTGCTGCCGCCAGACTATTCCGACGTCGTCTTCTCCGACCATGATCGACTCAACATGCTGGAGCGCCGACCCAACTTCGACGAGAGCACAAAGATCAAGCCCTGCCGGCCATACCAAGATGTCGAGCTCGAGTATTCGGCAGGAATCATCCCTGCCCCAATTGCCCAGTACCTACGCGATTATCAGATCGTCGGTGTTAAGTTTCTGCATCGTCTCTTCGTCTACCAGAGAGGCGGCGTGCTTGGCGATGACATGGGTCTCGGCAAAACGGTGCAGGTTGTCACATTCCTCACCGCCGCCTTCGGCAAGACCGCCGACGAGCGCGATAGGAAGCGTCTAAAAAAGATTCGTGACATCTCCGGTCGCTGGTACCCGAGGATCCTGATCATCTGCCCAGGATCCATCATCGAAAACTGGAAGAACGAGCTGAATCGCTGGGGCTGGTGGAAGGTCGATGTCTTCCATGGCGCAGGGAAAGAGGATGTGCTCTCCACGGCCAAGGCCGGCCGGACGGAAATCATGGTCACCACTTACACGACCTACAAGAACCACAAGAGCTTGGTCAACACGGTCAAATGGGATGCCGTCATCGCCGACGAGTGCCACCAAATGAAGGAAAGGAGCTCCGAGGTTACCAAGGCTATGAACGACATCAACGCGCTCTGCCGTATTGGCTTGACGGGCACGGCGATCCAGAACAAGTACGAAGAACTCTGGACCCTGTTGAACTGGACGAATCCAGGCCATTTCGGTACCTTGAGCGAATGGAACAACACCATCACCAAGCCCCTGACACGAGGCCAGTCTCACGACGCGACCTTGGGTCAGCTACGAGACGCCAGGGTCACTGCCAGAAAGCTTGTCACTAACCTGCTTCCCGGTTTCTTCCTGCGCCGTATGAAAACATTGATAGCCCACCAGCTACCCAAGAAGAGCGACCGAGTCGTCTTCTGCCCGCTTACCGACCAACAACGGGAGGCGTACAAGAACTTCATCAGTAGGCCTGACGTCGAGCTTCTTCGCACCCTCTCGGACCCCTGCGAATGCGGCTCGGGCACTGGCCAAGGCTGGTGCTGTCGGAAGACGCTCGAGGACGGAACATCATGGCAGTCAATCATCTTTCCCTGCGTCACAAATCTACAGAAGCTATCGAACCACCTCACTCTCCTCATCCCTGCAGGAGGGGGCGACCAAGATGACAAGTACAAGAGGGAAATTCGCGCACTCCAGACCTGCTGCCCACAGACGTGGCAATACCTCTACCAGAACAGAGATGCGATCTTGAACCTGGCCAACCCCGAGTTCTGTGGGAAATGGAAAGTCTTGAAGAAGCTTCTCAAGTTCTGGCACGACGGCGGCGACAAAGTCCTTGTCTTCTCCCACAGCGTCCGCCTGCTTCGGATTCTACAGCACCTGTTCCACAACACCAGCTACAGTGTCACGTATTTGGATGGCTCAGTCTCCTACGAGGACAGGCAAAAGGCCGTGGATGACTTCAACTCCGACCCGACCCAGTTTGTCTTCTTGATCTCGACCAAGGCCGGCGGTGTAGGCCTGAATATCACGTCCGCAAATAAGGTTGTCATTGTTGACCCTCATTGGAACCCATCGTACGATCTTCAGGCCCAGGACCGAGCGTATCGAATCGGCCAGGTCCGGGACGTCGATGTCTTCCGCCTGGTGTCCACAGGAACCATTGAGGAGATTGTCTACGCCAGGCAGATCTACAAACAGCAGCAGGCCAACATTGGCTATACGGCATCGTCCGAGCGGCGGTACTTCAAAGGTGTGCAGCAGGATTCTGAACGCAAGGGGGAGATCTTCGGCCTGGAGAACCTCTTCACGTATCGCGAAAACCAGCTCGTGATTCGTGACATCGTTAACAAGACCAACATCGCCGAGGCAAAAGCAGGAACAGGCATCGCCATGACCACCGTCGACATGGAGAAGCTTGCCAAGGAGGAGGAGGAGGAGGGAGAGCTCGGCGCCCTGAAGCGCGACCCTGCCGGCTCGGAGGACGGCGACATGAGCCAGCTTGCCGCATTCTTGGCCGGGAAGAACACCAAGGCCGGCGACTCTGCGAAAACGCAGCAAGCAAAGAGCGATGCCGTCCAGGCCATTCTGTCGGCAGCAGGCGTCGAGTACACTCACGAAAACTCGGAGGTGATTGGGACATCCAAGGTGGAGGAACAGCTGTCTCGCAAGGCGGAGATGGCGGCCAGCTCTGACGTCGACGGAGAGGGCGACAGCGCTCTGTTCGCGGACAGCCAGGCGTTTAATGCACAGGCACAGAAGCTGAAGGGATTCTCGTACGTTTACAACCCCCCCGAGGATGTCATGCGGCGCCAGTTTTGCTCCATGGCGCGCGAGTTTGGCTTCGCAACCGCGACCGAGTTCGCCCTGGTCGTCGGCAGCTGGACGCAGGCCCAGAGACGCAACTGCCTCGATGCGTTCTACAAGATCCGCGAGGGCAAGCTACTCGCCGAGGAGACTGTCAAGGCCGAGACTGAGGCCGAGCAGGCTGCCGCCGCTGCTGTCAAGGAGGAGGTTCAGAAGCCGGAGGGCGGTTTCAAGGACGAGCCGGAGACAAAGGTCGAGGAGACGAAAGACAGCGTACTGATTATCGATGATGATGATGATGAGACCGAGGAAGACGAGGAAGGCGAGGGCGGTATCGTCCATACGCAGAAGGACGGGGTCAAACAGGGACCTGTCGAGACTAGTGAGGCCATTAAATCGGAGAAGGAGGCCGTCAAACCAGAGGCCGAAGCCGACCAGAAGAGGACGTCGGTCTTCATCTACGACACAGACGACACGGACGAGCTTTGAAGGCCTTTTTTTGAGGCGGATACTACTGTATGGATAGATACCCCCGGCGTTATTTTGTGGCTTCTGAGCACATTTGGCCCCCCTACGTCGCTTGTTTTAGGTAAAGTCTTCCTGCATGCGCATGCACGAAGGATGACAACGTTCAACGTGGTCAACCGATACCTGGGTGTTTATTCCGGTTCATCCCATGAGCCAGCCCTCGATCGGGCGCGAGTGTCTAGAATATATTTTCCTCTTAAACCATTGATGCAAAAGCCCCCCCTCCCCCAACAAGAAATGAAGACGGGGAAGGGGGGAAAAAAAAGACAAAGGCAAAGACACCCTTCCCCGCCCCTGAAAAAGAGGCATGGCAGCGAGCCTGTTGTGTATCCTCTCATTCAAAAAAAAAAAAAAAAAAAAAAAAAACCCTAAATAACACATGCGCTCGCGTATGTACACATTTTCGCATGGTCGCCCTCAAAACTCGTCTTCGATGCCCTTCGCCTTCTCGCTGGCCTTCCTCTCCCTGTTATAGTCGACCCACCAGCGGTGCGACTCGTCGGTGCCCGTCCACTCGCCCGTCTGCGGGTCGATCTCGTCCCATGGCTTGGGGGCAAGGATGTAGTGGACATTCTTGACCTCGGCGTCGCGCCAGACGGCGTCGTGGACGCCCGGCCAGCGCATCGTCTTGAGCGCGTTGTAGACGTAGGGCAGGGCGACCCAGCGGCCGCGGTAGAGATCCGACAGCAGGCTCTGGTCGGCAAAGTCCATGTCCATGGCGCCTTGCTCCATGTGGCGAATGATCTGCTCGAACAGCCGGCGGGACGGGTTGACGACCTGCAGGCCGCCATTCATGAAGCCCAGCGGGGACTGGGTGACGGAGTCCGGAGCGGTGTGCTGGGCGGCAAGGGGGGTAGCGTGCTGCGCCGTGAAGGCGCAGTTGCCGGGGGTCCAATCGGGCGGGTAGTGCGGCTTGTGGAGGGGGTTGCAGACGCAGGCGTGGCCGGCGGCGAAGACGCGGGTGCTCGGGTTCTTGACGGCGAGGTCATCGAGGGTCGGTGAGCGGGGGCTGCCGCCGATGGCGGCGCCGGGGGTCTGGTCGGCGGCGAAGTCGCCGTCGTCGAGCTGGAGGTCCATGAGCTCGTCCATGTTGCGGAGGACGAGCATGTCTGAGTCGAGCTGGACGACGCGGGCGTACTGGGTTAGGGAGAAAGGGGAGAGCTTGCTCCAGCAGTCGTAGAAACGCGGGTCATTGGAGTAGTCGCGACCCTTTGTGGGGAGCAGGTACTCGATGCGCTGCGCGGGGATGCCGCGGCGCTCGAGGGCGGCGAGGCCCTCGGCCGGGAAGGTGTCGGTGTAGAGCGCGACGAGGGGATACGCTGAGCCGGACCTGATGAGAGAGTAGTTGAGGGTGAGCAGGCCGGGCAGGTAGTCGAGGTTGGTTATGAGGGTTGTCCAGACTGTGTGCGCGCGCGGGAGAGGGATTAGCTTGGTTCGAGTCGCGCGTGTGGTTTGCGACAATGAGCCGATAAGCAGGAACATGCGAGGCAGGGAAATTTCCAACAAGCAAGTGACGAGAATCTCAATCGCGGGAGAATAACGAGGGTCAGAGTGAGAGTGGATAGAAAGGTAGCAAGGGAAACCACAAACCTTTGTCCGAATCAACGGCACGTCTACCGTCCGACATGTTGGCGGTGGAAGCAATGATGGCGACTGTGACTTGAAAGTCACGAGCGCAAGGGATGCTGCTTTGTTGCTTGCGATGATGCCGACAACGACGACAATGGCGGCGGCGGCGGATTACGTATGCGCGGGCACACGTAGATTTGGCGGGGCAGACTCCGGTGGTGGTGAGGCGGGGTAGATCTGTCAGCAAGAAGAGACAGATGCTCGAATGACAGAAAGATGCAGGGTTTGTTTACTAGGTCGGCCGGGATGTTCGTTGTCGACAGGAAAGCTCCCTCTGTAAACAAGACTCGTGCGTGTATGAGCGTGTCTCTATCCTTGGGTATGCGAAGCTCAACTGAGAGTAGGCAGATGGGAGGGAGGAGAGAGAAACAGAGAGAGAGCGCGCGCGCGTGTGTGTAGAACGGGAGGAGAAGTGGAAGAGAAAGGGAGGGAAGAATGAGAAAGATGATTCACAAGATTAGAAACGGTCTTGACGGGGAAGATTGGGCTGCATCCCGTTGCAGGAGTCAGTGGTAATTTGGCTCCAAAAGGGTCAACGAACAAGGAAATAAAGAGGGAAAAAAAAATGGCCCCCCCGAAAGGAAACAAACCCACGAGTCATCTCTGCGATGTGGCATTGGACGACGCAACTGGGAGAGTTTTAGTAACTAAACCAAGCCCACCCTCCTTACCTCCCCGAAATAGGGTCTTTCCACATCCGAGGTCATTTCCCATCCTAAGCCGAAGCGGGAAGGAAGGCGGTTTGCTGATAAATGGTGAGGTATCTCGATCGGCTGGTGCTTCGATGATGACGCCATCGGGATTAGACATCGATGTCGCCGAGGTAAAGGTATGTATGCAATAAGAGTCCCGGGTGCTCCGACTTCTCCTCCTTGTACTTTCCCACTCTTTTCGCGCATGGATTGTTAGCATTGCGCATTGAGAGATTGTCCATGTCGAAAGAGGAGGGGGTGTGGTGCAATTCGCCCTACGAAGGTACTCCACTCCCCCTCGGATGGGGCGTCTGCAAATGTAAGGGTCATAGATTATCCCATTTAGGTAGACGTAGAATCCAGGAACGGGCCTTATCGTGGGTAGAGCTGACCCGTCTCCCTTCGCATTCTGAGAGGCCCAAGTGATGAGATTTCCTTGCATCAGCCCTGCCTGAAGCACTAGTGTTTCCCAAAATTCCTAGAGCTGCAGACCCCTTTCACCTTTTTGTTTCGTTTCGGGGGGGTTTTTTTTTTGGGGGGGGGGGGGGGGGGGGGGGGTTGAGCATTGCTTGCATTTAGGGTCGGTTGTTTCTTCTCTTACAGGGTTATTCGTCCCCCCCTCCTTTGGAAACACCAACATGTAGATCGGACGACGGATCCAATGGCGTGTTCCCTCACCCCCCCTCAGTCCTAGCCCAGCACATGCCTCAGAGCACGCAAGTGGGGACTTGAGTTCCGAGTGTCCGGCCCAGGAAACTCCGATATTCGTCGCGGAGATCATCCAATTCGTCGAGGCATGGGCCATTTCTTTGCCTTGTTGAAATTGTCCGAAAAGTTACATTTGCTGCTTGCTGCGCCCGCTTCACGTTTGCTTGTCCAACCTTTCGCATCACCGCTTCTCAATTCAGTACAAATCAGTCGGTTCGTAACGTTCGTTCAATCTTGGGAGAAAGTAAAGTCACCATTCTTTCTTACCCTAGGTACACCAAGTTGTTGGTTTCAGGGGAGGAAAAAAAAAAAAAAAGAGCAAGCCTTTCCGTCCGACTGCCCCGATAACCCGCGAGCCAACTTAATGAGGCAAGTCCAGTTCCCAGGGTGCAACAAGCCATGCAAGATATCATGGGTTACATGGCGTCTCCTGGCGTCCTTGCAGCGTAGAAAATCTCAACCTGGTCTGGTGTATGAAGAAAATAGAAAGGATAAAAAAAAATTAGAAAAAAAGACGTGCCCTCCTTCGCCAGTCTATGATGCAGTCTCATGCAATCGTATGGGAGTCGTCTTCGTCGTCGTCTTCCTAGACAACAAACCCCGCAAAATCAAATCAGGAACGGAATAGAGGGAAGAAAAGAAAGAAACACCTTCAATGACTGGTTCTTGGTATCCGGTGTGTTTATTCGTGTGCACTTCTTAGTACTGGAAAACGGGTCTAGTGTCGCTTGTATTTCTGCTTCAAAGTCAGCAAATCGTCTTCCGTCGAGAGGCCCGCGCGATTGGAGAACTCACCTCTTCGGCTCTGCGCCTGTTCTGCGGATCCAGGCTGTTTGTTGCGCCCATCAACGTCTGTCCGATCACCTTGGTAGCCCCGATGGCCGGCCGGAAGATGATGGTGGGCGCCCGCTTCCACACTGCTTTGGCGAGACCCTGCGCACTCTGGCTGTCCATGACTTCGCCCGGCACCGCAATGATGGCATCGCGGGCCATGTTGAGGTCTCTCGTCAGGCTCGAGTAGCCGCCGCGCAGCCCTTGGATCACGCCAGTCGGCTGATCCGCGTACAGAGAGATCTGCTTCTTCTCCTCCGGGTCGAGATCCGCATCCTCCCACGTGTTGTCGGTCTGCGGTTTGTTCAGGAGACCCTCGGCACCCTGAAGCGCGTACTGCGTCCCGATGGCCAGCTTGGCTCCAAACTTGACCATCTCCGTGCCCGTTGTGCGAGCGAACGCCGCCGCACCCTTGCCGATGCTGCGGACGATGCGGCCGTCTTTCTTGTATTCCTTGATGGGCACCTCGATGAGTTCCTTGAAACCGCTGCCAATGTTGACGATGCCGCGGACCGGCGCGAGGCCAGCGAGAACCCCGGCCAGTTGTGTGCCCTTGACGTCCGGCATCCATATATCGTTGAGGATCTTGCCCATCCTGTCAAAGCCTGAGACTCCGTAGATGATGGTGTGCCGCAGAGTCAGACGTGCTTCGTCCAGAATGATGAAGTTCATAAACTCCGTGGTGCGGCCCGACTTGAGCCCTGCATAGTCGACTCGCTTGGGTTTGAAATCCAGCTTGACGGGAATGTCGTGGACCTCGACACGCTGAAGGAACGGCACGTCGCTGCTCGAACTATGAACAGGAGCGCTGTCATCCTTGAACTCGAAGAATCTGGTGATAAAGTCGAGGGCGTCTTGGTCGACGTGGAGCCGCAGCGGCAACACGGTGACCCGCAGTACCATTTCCGAGGCCGCAAGGTCCGGCTGGGGCTTCACGTTCAGCAGTTCCAGGTGGGCCATGCTGGTACCCATCTCCCGCTCACCAGCGTCTTGGTCGTACGTGGCAAACTTCTTCCAGGTCGAGGTGGGGACGTGGTCAAAGACGTCGAGGTTTTGGATTCGCACATCGATGGAACTCTGCGTCTCACCAGAGTCGGGAGGGAAGGCGATCAGATCCACGTTGACTCCCTGCAGCTCGAATGTGATCTTGTGATGCTTGCTTCGGTTCAGTCTCAGCCTCTTCTTGGGCCTGGCGCCTCCCGCGCGACCTGTCGTTGTCGTGAAAGCGGTGGTTGCGAGAGACTCCGTGTCGGTGGCGTTGTCGTTCAACTCCTGGTTGACCATTTGCGCAAGCTCTCGGGGGTCTTGCTTGGTTGAGATACCAATGTAGATGGAGTTGAAGAGGAAGTCTCCAATGACGGTCTCGTCTTCCTCGGCGTCGTCTTCAAACACGGCGCGGTCCGATCGCCGGCGGCGCTCAAAGGCCTTATTCTCGACGTCCTGCACGGCCTTTGAGATAACGTCGCGCGTACGTTCCCAGTCGTATCCGTCAAACAGATTCCAAATTACGTGCACGTCACGAACCGAGACTCGAAGTGGGCTGCGCCCGACAAGTTCCTTGGGTGCCTTGTCATAGCTGTTCTTGGATGAGTTCCAGACCTGGGCTCTACCGTCGGTCTCTGGTCCCTTATTGAAGAAGTTCTCGTGGATTACTAGGTCGCTACCGTCATCCGAATGGTGGGATGCACTAGCGTTGAAGCTGGTCAGCAGTACGCCGTCGTGTGTATCTTGAGTTGTCGTGGCATTTGACGTTATGGAGCCCTCCGCATCAAAGAGTGGCTCCGACGGGCCGGCATCTTCGTAGTAGCGCGAGTCGATTTGGAGAGGGCTGGCGTCGCTCGCCACATCGTATTCATCACTGCCGCCCAGCTCCTGCGCGAGCTCGAAGTCCTTGTCAAAGTCGTAGTCGCCTTCTGCCTTGCCGAAAGCCTCCGCCGAAATCGAAGCCAAGAGGTCCTGCACTGGAACGACTGAGGTGCGGTACTTGTTCTCCTTGCTGGGCGGAGTGGGCGGCGTCAATGCATTGGCCAGGGTGATGAGGGTCTGCGTCGAGTCGGCGCACGTCTCCAGTACAAGCAGATCATCACGGAGTTCGATATCGACATGCTTTTCACCGTCCTCCGGGCTTTCCGACACCTTTACGACTGCTTTTGCCGAGGATATATAGCAGATGCTCACGAAGCCTTGGGCGACAAGTCGCGAGACCTGCTGGGACGACATGTCTGCCGACTGCCGGCGGTTCACGGTAGGGTTCGCACCTATGTTAGCCACATCGTCAATGAGCAGAATGGAGGCCTTGTTCAGGTCCAGTTTTGCCGTGGTTTCCACGTCTTTTGGAAGCACCACTTGAAGCCGAGAATCAGTCAGGGCGATAAGAAGTTTTGAGGGGAGACCAAGGGGGTTCAGGCCAACCAGGCAATCGCGAAGAACCAAGTCGACCGTCATAGGCTTACTGTTGGGTCGAGCAGGATCTGGCGGTGGTTTGTTGGTCTGGGATTTCTTGCCAGCTAGAGCAGTATGCGCTTGCTCGCCGAGATTGGCCACAGAAGCGGCAAGGCTGGCTTCGAAGTCTTGTGGTGTGGCATCCTCCGCGAGCCCCAGCACGTCCATGATCGTTGGCACACGGTAGTCGATCGTCACATCGCGCATCTTGATCTTGATGACCGGCTCCATCTCGTCTCCAATCATGCGGAACATGAGCACAGGGCCTTGGGTGAGCGTTCCGGGTGGCAACGTCGTCGATGAACTCACAAGGTCCTCTCGGTGGTTGCGATTCACGGAGATGGCGTGCACGCCGAATGCCACCAACGAGGGCACAGTGATCTGAGCAACTTCAAAGTTCTTGAGGTTCGTGTTCAGAACACCAAGTTTTCCGCCGAAATCAAGAACCGCGCCCAGCTCCTTGACCTCGGCCAAGAGCAGAATGCCGGGACGATCGTCTTCAGGGAGATACTTGGCAACGGTTGCCAGTCGCGCAACCTCCTCTCCCAGGGCGGGCAGGCAGTTTAGCTGATGCATCTGGTCAACCCTGACGTTGAGCTGGTCGAAAGTGACTCGCAGGACGCCACCCTTGCGTCGTTGCCTAAGGAGAGTGTCCACCATGATCTCATCGTCGCCCTGGTCGAACTTGACTTTGGACGGGATGATGAGCTCCAGAAGCCTCTCGAGATCCTTGTCCTTAGGCGTCGCTAGATACTCGAAACGCACACCTCCGATATCCGCCGATATTGGCGGATCGCTTCGAGAATATCTCATGTAGGGTCCGGCAAGCCGAACCTTGCTGATTGCAAAACCAATGCCCAGCTCTCGGCTCACCATCTTGACGGCACTTGTCTCCAGACCAATACTGCACTCCTTGCCCTTTAGTTCAAGATTAAACCCTCCTATCCGCATGTCAATCTTGTTTTCGGCCGACGCTGACTTGTCGTCGGGATTGATCGGGGCGTCGAAGCGAACTCCACGAGGCTTTGGGGGTGCCGGCGGCGGCGGCTTGGCAGACGGGGACGCGTTCGATGACATGGAGGAGCTCATGTTAAGAAAACTGCTCAGGCCTCCGAACCAGCTAAAAGTCTCGTCCAATCTTTGCAGGTCGAGTTGAACCAGCAGTGGCAAGGTCGTGACTTCTGTCCGGATCGAGTCAGGTGATTTTATCACCTTGACAGATACATCTGAGCCAACTGATGGGAACTTGTCCATGACGGAGGCCCGCATCTGAAGGCTTTGATCAAATGAGATGATATTATCTCTTGCGTAGCCGAAGCGGAATTTTTCAAGATCCACGGTCGTCTCGAGCGCCTTCTTGGAATTCTTGAGGGTTATGCTGAGGTTGTCGAGATCAGTGCGGAGAAGAATCTCTGGCTGCATCTGCAACCCTGGGGAGCCCAGGATTCTTTCCGCCGTGTCGGCAACGCCGCCAAGTTGGTGCAGGAAATGGAGTGAGATCTTTTCAAAAACCACTTTGGTATCAGGTACTGTGGACGCCTGTTGTGGCTTTGAGGTTTCAGTCGTCTTGGAAGCAGAGGTAGTAGAACCTTTGCTCTTTAGTGCATCCAACAATTTGCTAACGACGACGGCGAGCAGATACGCCAATGAGGCGTCGAAGCGGATCTCTAGAGGCGACAATTGGACCTCTATAGTTCCATCGCTGTCTGGCTCTGTCATGACCGGTTGTGGCTCCCTCGGTACAAAGCTCGACTTCAGTCCTGGTGATGTAGAGTACACAGAGAAGGCCCCCGGAACTTGTGGCGCGACTGATCTGGCCAGGCCGAGCGACGCCTGATTCTGGCTCAAAATCGAAGCTTGAGAGTCGGCCGGCACATGCATGTGTTGGTGGAGTGAGGGAATGTACAGTGATATGTTCTGGAGAGACACGAGTTCCTTTACCAGTCTGGTCGGTCCTCTTGGAGTTGCCACATCGTCTGCCTGCGCAGGCGTTTCTGCGACGTCGTCGCTTTCGGAGACCATTGTCGGAGACACTTTTGGTTCTCTCGCGTCTTCAAACTTTGAGTCCGACTCGACTGCCGACGACGGCGCCTTTGGTGGAGAAGGGGCTGGCGCGTCCGAGTACTGATGGGTCCCTGGATCGAGCGTGCTCACAGCTGCTTCGAAGGCCGGTGGCGACGGTTGGCGTGGTACTCGGCTCGCTATCTCTGCTCTGGGTAAAGTTCCTGGGCTCGAATCGGCATCCCACCCCCCCGGCATTCTGGATCCGGCGGGTTGCGGTTCGGCCTGGGAAAAGGCGCTCATGTACATGCTCTCGGCCTCCTCGTGGGTAAACAAGTGGGACTGTGCCAGATCCTCACCTCCTCCAGGGCTCGAATGTTGGCTTGCTGCGATAGAGTGATGTGATATTTCAGGTGTTCCAAAGTCAAGCAGGTCGGCTGGTCGGGCGTCCTCGATGGGCTGAAGCGAAGGCTCTGATCTCGCCTCCCTCTGGAAGCTGGCCCAGGGAGAAGCACGATCTTCGTCCCCCAAGACGGTCGACTGGGACATGGGAACATGTGCTCGAGGAGAGAAGTCCTGGTATATCGATGCTCTAGGTGTATTCGTTTCTTCCTCCTCGACTGGCTCCTCTGGCTGGCTCGAGAAGTCATACGGAATGTTGAACGCATCCTCGCTGTCCTGCAGAAGCGCATCGTCAACCTCGGAGAGATCCGCCGAGTCTGTGAGGTAGCTCTCTTGCATAGTCGGCCGAAAGGCACTGTGCCTCGATGCGGAAGCGCGCTCGCTGAACGATGGAGACTGTGAGACGGCGGGTGAAGAAACCGAGGGAGAGCGCGCAAACTGCGAAAAGACGTTTGCTTCCGAGATCAGGTAGGCTCGGATCTTGGACAAGGCGATGTGGCGCTTCCCGTCCTTGGGGACTATCGTGGGCGCACCCTCGTCGTTGTGCGCCTCTGCAGTGACGCCCTCTACATCTATGCGGTCAAGAGCAAGTTGAAAAGTAACAAGCTCCGGTGTTGTCGAATTTGGCTCGACGGGGACCTCAACATCCAACTGGAAGGTGACGCCTCGGATGCGAACCTGGATGCGGTCGACGATGCCTTGGAGGAAGCCGGCTAGAAAGCCGGGGAGTGATAGTGCCTGACCTGTACCGAACTGACTGCCATCGTCACTCATGGAGCTCTCGCTCATGGTCGAGCCGCCAAGGTCCTGTGTTTCGGCGGCCAAAGCATTCTCCAACCTCCTCTTCTCCTCGGCCAGTTTGACATCTTTCAAAGCAGTATCGTCATTGAGGAACGACTCGGCGAGGTTGACCGTGTTGGGGATTGCCGTGGACTCTTCGCTCGGCGTCGTCGCCGCCTTGTTGTCTTCGCCGGCGGTGGACACCTTCAACCGCACGTCGACACCGTCGATCTCGATGATTATAGGGCTCGTGTAAAAGTCGACGGGGATGGTGACGTTGAGTTTTAGCACTTTTGCTTTTTGGATTTGGAACTCGGAAGGAAGCTGCAGCAGTTGCTCGAGTTTCTGGAAATTTGACGGCCGTGTTAGTCACTTTACTTGGCAATAGACATGTAGGCAAAAACGGTCGATCGCCGTGCCGGACCGTACCTTGAGGCGCACTCCAACGTCCTTGAACTCAGCGGTAGTTGTCCTGCCGAGCGCGAACTGCAGGTTCTCCATGTCTAGCGTCTCCTCATCCAGGAGCTCTAGGCGTCGTAAGGCATAGATGAGCAGGCGCTTCGACAAGGTCGAGCTTCGGAAGCTCTGGAATATCGTCGCCATGATGGAATCGGTATCCCCCACCTAGGGTGGGTTATTCGGTTCGTGGGAGAGATGAGTTGATTCGATGGATAGATCGGTTCGGGGATTCGGAAAAGGATGGGTAGAGAAGCTCGAATGTACGGTAGATGTAGCCAGAGTTATTTCCTCAGGCTACAACAGAAAGAACATGCGGCGCTGGTCTACAAGCGAAGCGGAGAGGCTGCAGTTCACCGGGGGTGGTTGACGCAGTCTGCAGTCACCGTGTTATCAGAAGACACCCGGCCCAAGGCGGGGACGCTGTTCATGGTGTGTTCGTCATCCAAAGATAGGGTTTCGCTAAAGGGGAGCAAGAGAGAGAGAGAGAGGAAGAGAGAAATATTCAACAGGAAGTAGGCCAAGGACAAGGTCGAAAGGCGAGTAGGGAAGCGCCAGGCTGAATGGGAGGGAGCCAAGAGGTTAAGGTTGTTGGAGTTGTAAGAGGTAGGTATGCAAAAGAGAGGCCGGGAAACCCACGAGCCTAACCAAGTGTGATTGCAGTTAGTCGGGGGCTCTCGCAAGCAGTTAGGCAAAGGGCGAAGGCGAACTAAAGATCAGTCGAGGTAAGGTAAGGTACAGGCGAGCAGGGCAGGTAGGGTGGGTACCCCTTTTGGTAGGTGACAGTAACGGTAACGGTAATGGGCAACCTTGTGCGAACAGTCAGTAGTGTATGTATGGCCTGGACGTGCGTGATGATGAGGCAAGGCAAGGCCGGCACTGGGCTGGGCCGGATACGTGTAGATGGGGGGTGGGAAGGGGGGGGGGGGGGCATGAGGCATAAGAGTAAGAGGGGGGCCATGGACACAGCCAGATGCACTAAAGACTGGTCCCCCCCACAAGCTCTCACAGCGCGTGACTCTGGCTGGGTTCACGTCACCGACAGGGTGCACAGGGGTCCTACCTACCGATAGTATCAGTTGACTACTCCGTACACAAGGTCTTTATCGATAAGGGGGGCGAGGGAGGGGAGAGGCCAGGAGTGTAATGACCGTGGCTGAAGCCGATAGGACGGTTTGCTTTGTGAGGGGGGCACATTACATTACTTGTGACTGGGTCTGATGGAAACACCATTCGAGAGAAGAGGCCTGGGGGGCCCTTGCACGCTAAGGAATGTCTCTTGTGCTCTTCCGATGATGCAGTGAGCCGTGCGTCCCGTTCCAGCTGGTTGATGCAGAATCAGCCACGCTTTGCACATCTCCAGCCCTGGCTATCAGTGTCTGTCTGCCTTGCCTGTCTGTCTGTCGGCTGGCCACAACTGTTATCTCTTTGGCGTCCGCAACGTTTGTGCATTGCTATGTATGTACGAATGACTACTTTTTGTATTAAACAAGGGCTGTGAGATAAGAACTGGAAGTAAAACACAAACAACACGCACATACCTCCCCCCTATTTGCATAGCAACGCTCTCCCCACACTGCAGGATTGCCTAACTTTGTTGACGTTGCATGATTCGAGTGGCCCTCCCAATCTGCATGGAAAGCTGTCTGAAATGACGTTGGCTATGTATGTGAGGAGCCGTTGGAAATGCCTTTTGTCCGAGTTCGTCCCCCCCTCACAACCACAACACTCGAGGAACAAAGACGAGCGTTTGTCTCGTTGGCAAATGTCTTTCATTTCAAAGGTTTTTCACTACCTGCCTACTTCATCCGAGAGATTGTGAGAAAGACGTGAGGTGTTTCAGTTTCGCAGCCCAGTGGTGCTTACGCAGTACATTGGCAAGCAACATATGTCTGTCTGCCTACTCTCCCCGACAGGTTTGTGAAATGGCTTGGCCCCGGGTTTGACACGTGTGAGGTGCAAGCTCTAACCCCCGGGAGGAAAGAATTAAACTGTAAATAAATGTTGGAGAATCGGATGACTATCTTTGGCCGTTGGGTCCATCTAAAACAAAAGAGAATGCAGCCCCAAGGCTTAGCTAGCAGATGCCATGGCCACAGCCCCGTCCCCCGGTGGCTGGTAGTTTATCTTCGCAATCACATGAAGAGCATGGTCCGCTCGCTCTTCACCGGGGCCCGGCCGACGACCCAACCAACCTCCCCCGCCTGCCTACTGCCCCTCGCCGTCCTGGACATTAGTGGTGCTCGCCCTGCCGTAGGCTTCAGCCACCCTCAGGCCGACACTCTCACCGCTCCAGTAGGCCCCCGTCGCCGTTCCTAGCGCCACGAACGGCGCCGTGTGCTCGCCCGCCAGCCACAGGCCGCCTTCCGGTACGCCGTTCCGCATCGCCTCAATGTCCTTGTCACCCTCCGTCAACCCGACGGGGAAGTTGCTGTAGCTGCCGTTGCCCGCGAGGTCGTCTCGCATCCAGTCCGTCGACAGGCACCCCTTGGGCTTGCAGTCGGGCGACGTCTCGTCGTAGTGCGGCAGCCTGGAATAGTAGGGCTTGAAGAAGTCGTACAGGAAGTAGTTCCTCTCCGGTATCGTCTTCAGCTTGGCCACTTCTTCCGTGATGTATCTCGACTCGTCCCCAAAGATGTAAAATAGCAGCGTCGGGTGTGAATGCTCGCCCAACGACGCGAGGTCGACAATCTCCTGGTTCCACCTCTTCGGGTTCGTCTCTGGTGTGTAATTTGGCGCTAGCCATTGGCAGAAGCCTTGGACTACCCGGCCTTTGCTGTCGGGTTCGAGCCAAAACGCTCTGGGGAAACTGATGTAAACCTTTTCGAGGCAGCCGTAGCCGATGGCCTGGATACCACGCTCGATTCTGTCGGGCAACGGCGGATCAAACGCTTGCAGGTTCTTCTTTAGCCAGCCCAAAGGCGCCGTCATCACAACCTCGTCAAACTCAAAGACCTCGCCGGTGTTTGTGTGGACCCTTGGCCTCTCACGGTCCGGGGTTTTCAACTCCACCTTGGTCACCCGGGTATCGTATTTGATATCCGCGTTGTGCCTCACGGGCTCCGCGATTCTCTCCAAGATCTTTTCGTAGGTGCCGGCGCAGAATAGGTTTTCTTCCACATAAGTCAACCACGGCTATTCCTCCGAGGGTTGCAGGCCCCGCGAGTCTGGAAGATCCGTGGCAAAGGGTGACTTACCGCCGTCGAGGCATTCTTCTAGCCAGAAAAATTTGAGACTTTGGGTTTCGATCGGGCTTCCGGTAAACGCGCCCCAAAGCTCGGCAACTTGGAGAACGATGCTTCGCTTCCTAGCGTGATCCTCGTCGGTGTCGGGGATCTTCTCAACTACCTTATGCTGGAAAAAGTCCCATAGACTCTCGTCGGGATGGATATCGGCCGAGTTCTTATTAGAATGTTGAAATGCATCTTGGACAATGTCCCACATGATGGTGGAGTAGACCTCGCTTTCGCCCAAGTCGAACAGTTCCCCCCCTTCGTCAAACACATACGACCGATTGTCCCAGCGGCCAACCGCGGTTCCGGTCTCTTTTGCGAGATCATTCATAGGGTTGTCATCGGTTCCGTGTATCCAGTTGGGGCCAAGGTCGACAGTGTGTCCATTCGGGAGCGTTTCCTGGAACATGCGGCCTCCAAGTCGTTCCCGGCCTTCGATGATGGTCACCAGCAAGCCATGTTGAATCAGGATATCGGCACAACGCAATCCGGCGAGGCCAGCGCCGATGATGCCCACGTGAGGTCTGGGACCCGACTCGGATTGTTTGCGCTGTGACGTGTCAGGAGCAGACTGCTTGGACGAGAATAACTGGCCTCAATCGTCTTGTACCCTCAGGCATAAGACGAGATGGGTACGGTCGGTGAGGATGGAAAGGGTTTAAGACGAATTCGTCCATCAAAGGGGACAGTCAGCGGCCGCGACCCGAAGCGTCCCATGAGCGACGTTAGGCACGTGGTTGACAAGAAGCAGACTTACCTGTAAAAGTGAGTCCATCGTCAAAGATCTGAGCAGCAACTCGTCTCGGCCGGTCCCACGGAGGCCTTGAACTCGACAGGATTCAAGGTCCTGGTAGATGCGAGATGTACTCCGGTTGTCAGGGCTAGTATAAGATACTGAGTAAGCGTCCATGGCTGCAAGGCGCCTCCGGCGAAAAGCAGGGGAGAAAGACAGAGTATGGTTGTATTGATAGGGATGATCACGGAAGCTGGCTGATGGGGGAAGGAGGCCAAACTAGGCCACGATGCTGCTGACTGAGGACTAGTCTGGGGAGTAAATAAGTGAAGAAGTTCACTGGGTTAAAGAGCGACTCTGAGAGAAACCGGGAACGAGTGAGACAACGCAAGAAAAAAAGAAGAGCGATTGCCGACTTGAAGAAGGGGGGGGGTTGGGAAATGAGATCAGGCGGAGGCGGCAGCAGGGCCAATGTGGGGATGGCGGGCGAGCAACGTAGTGAATTGTCTTCAGCGGCTAAGGGGTTTCGGTCGGGATCATGGGGGAAAGAGATGGAGATTATAGGGACCCGCCGATCTGGGTACAGCCGCCGAGAAGGATAAGCGCAAGAAGTCCAGATAAGATCTGGTAAGTGGTAGAGAGCGACGCATGGCAAGACGGCCAAGGTGAGGTTTGGTGTCGCGGACCATCTCATATCGGCGGCGCCGAGACGTACAAGCTGCAACGTGAAGAGCGGAGCAGGCCAGAGCAGAGCAGAGCAGAGCGACCTTGGAATAGCCTGCGGGTTGCGACGTGAAGTGCCATTTTGAGAGTACCATGTCTAACCGAAAGGTTGATAATGGACAAGTGGGGGAGGGGAGTCAAAAGGGTATAAGAAAGAAGAAACTGGCGACATTCGAGTCGGTCCAGAGTTTGCTGTTCTTAAAACCCAACCTCGCCCTCTTCCACGCTTTCGCTCTCTCTCTTTCTCTCTCTCTCTCTCACACACACACACACACTTCTTCTTTCTGCAGATGGAGGGAGGGGGCTTGACTTGCAGCAGCTGTTGTACGCAGCAACTGCCATTCTCACCCGTCACTCCTGCCATCCTAAGACTGTGCCTCGTGGCTCTTGCCGACTGGGCTCACGTGTAATCAGGAGTGTAAGCCGGCGGGTGGCTGAGTGATGAGCGGCTGTTGTGC